CCCCCCCCCCTAATAGATGCACTTAAAGACTTTACTTTGTTCGTCATCTACGGTCGGGTTGCCCGTTTCACAACTGGTGCACATTGTGCCAATATAAAGGTTGGAATCTTGAGCAAATCGTTCTACTATACAAATCTAGCCATCGCCACGCTCATATTTGCGCTCCATTTAAGGCGAAGACGTAGCAGTAGCTATTCCTCACTGGGTACGCTGTCTAAGGAACCCATTGCAAGCAATTGATTGCAATGTTTTGATGGATATAGGTAAGGGAAGGTGGAGAAAGTCTTCACTAAGATGGCGTCTCCATATTGGCACAGTTGACTGTTCCGTAATGAAACTGTCCAAATAGTTTGCAGCTAGTGCCTCTCCTGGTTATAGCTTCTTTGCAGATCATAGGGTTGGGGCATTCTCATGAGGTCGACCTCACTTTTAACCCTTTGTGGAAAGTGGTCAGATATGTTCTCACCTGCCGCATCGAGGTCTCTCACTGGAAAGTAGACATCAAGGTGGGCTTGGGTCGGCTTTGCTGTCTGCTTTCCCTAGTGCAATACCTCAGAACCTTTGTAGTCAAAAGAAAATTCAAAGTCCGGGCACAATGGAAATATTCTACATACAATGCGGCATGGCGCTACTGCTGTCTCAGAGGCCAGCATGGTAGTGAGGACTCGTAATTGGTCATTCGTCAAAATCAGAAGTCATGTAACCAAAATCGTGGTATCATGAACGTTAAATCATTGCCCATCGTGCTTCCCTTCCCTTTCCTCCAGCTGCAGGGTTTAGGGTGTTTGGAATGTGCCGAGTCAAGAACCCGAAAGCATCTTCATACGGGCTTGCAAGCTGGTTCTCCGTTCCAAGCCTATATGTTGTGTCGCAACACATTAGGGTTAAAGGCATCTATTTTTAATCCACTGTAGAAAAAAATGCGATGCAAAATACTGAAGATGGATGAACGGATCGGGAGACGTTTTAGCTTAAAAGCTAGTTAAGCAAGTGTCATGCGAGCACAACGCGTCGTCCTCGCAATTCTAGCGGTCGCCTCCTGAACGTCTTACGTGCTTTCATCATGGTTCAAGGTGAAGTAAATCCTGCTGAGTTGAAAATTGCTTGCAGTGTGTTGTAATACAAGAGATAGAGTAGCGTCATTTGTTTGATGACCCATTCTGCGCATAATTTGATAGAAAAAGCGGAACTCGCGCAGTCCTAGAGTGTAAAGTAAAGATAATTGCCTGCCTACTGGAGCATTTCTTGCCAAATAATAGAGTACAAGTTTACCCAGCGACGCTGTGGGAGCTGTAGTCAGATAACATCACTTTCTTCTGGCTTACAAAGGAGCAATTAAAGTGAGGAGGTTTTTTGTTATGTCGAAGAGCGGATGCTACCTTCTTCATCAGGGCTTCGCTAGGGTACTTTGGACGCATTTACCGCCCTACACTTCAGTGCTGTAAGCAACTTCACTCATCAGCCACTGGTGGCAATCCTGCTCTCTAACCACCACGTTCGTTGTCCACTATTTTCTGACGACCCCCCCTCTTCCTGCCCACGATGCCACCACCAAGCACCCACCTTCCACTCTCGACAAGGCACCCTCCCTCCAAACTGACACCCTGTCCCGAGATCCACAACCTCAACGAGTTTAACCCAACTCAATCACTACACTCTATCATGCCAATTGAATCGACGATCTTTCAGCCCCCTAGTCAATAGCCGATCCTCCTCGTCACTCAGACTCCCCGATCAGTGCACATTCCACCCTCCGATGATGCTCCTCCTAGCGTTGTGGAGGCTGAAGAGACTGCGTCACTGACATGCGAAGTTCACTTCTCTCTCTCTCCTTCCTATCCATAGGGAAGGGTGGTGGTCATCCTCCACCCATGCGATTCATGTGGCTGTGGAGTCGCCTTACTGATCCACACATCCACAGGGAATATGAGCAGTGTCAAGGTGATCTTTTGCCGTCTTGCTTGTTGTCACCACCAGAAGAAGCGACAGACCATGACAGAGTATTTGTGGAGGGAGAGTGTTTGCATGCAACGGTGAGATGTCAGAGCTCAGACGTCTCATGTGTGGTTGTGTTTAGTGAGAAAGCGGTCAGTAGTTCGTGTATTCAATTTGGTTTGTTCCTACCTCGTTTAATGGTTGATTGTGGCCAACTCCACTCGCCCACGTGGAAGATCTTTACTCCATTTGGTTTAGTAATCAGAGATTTGGCATTTTAGTTTTAAATTTTACTCAAGGAAACGTAGTAATAAATATTAGCTTAAAATCACACTAAAGGGAAGTCAAAAGAAATACAGAATGCGTGGAGGGCAAATAATGGTAAACTGCAAATTCCTCCTCTTCTTGTTCATTTGAATACAAAGCGATTCATAAGAGTTTACATAAATACTTGCTTTACTGGTCACATCACTTTGAGGGACAGGATCTACGTACACCGTACACCGGTCTTTACGGGAGACCCGAGGATGACGTAGGTAGGCACGCAGAGAGATCTTGCAGACATTAGGAGGAGGATGCAAGCACATCTGAATGGGAAGTGTTGTGAGGTCCCAATGGATGTGAGTGGACCCGTCAACTCCTCTGAAACTGGATGTGAGTTGTACTTTTGAGTCTAGGCCAAACTTTTTTTGAAAAATCATCTTTATCTCAACATTTAATTCTTCTCCAATTTTGTCACAGTCTTCTCTCTCCAACCGGGACATTTACAGTGGATCGTGCACAGCCGATTGCAAAGAAATCCTGTGATTTCAGCATGAGAGTGTAACTAAAAAACTGCACACCGACTTACCCAAATAGTATCGAAGAAAGTGTTGAGGCATGTTAAGCAGAAAATATTCAAAAAAAGTGGCAAAAAGCAGACAGATTTTGTCCTCTAGAGCCGAAGTTCAGCAACATGCTTGCAATCATGACTTCGTGGAAGAAGTTAAACAATTTACTGCCTTTAATGCTACTCGGTTAAATCCGTTCTTCCCTTAAAAACTCATTGTTAGGTTTATGAACGAAGCTATTATTGTAGAGCCTTTTTAACGTTGAGGGGTCCATCCAGCCTCAACTCGCAGCTCATGTTTGGCTCTGTGTACCGCCGAGGTTGCTTTACACACTCACGATTTGAGCTTCGTCTACTTGGTTGTGTCACTACTGGCACAAATTCCGCTCTTGAAGTGGTCGGTGACCCTTGTTACCACTTGTATCGAAACAGACCCTCCTGTTTGTAATTTCGAATCCGCTCTACTCCATAGGGCAGTAGTCATCACAAAAGTAAGGTGAAAACCAATGGCAAAATTTTCTCCATTTGGCAAGACCACGTAACTTGTCACCTTGACATAGGTAACTGTTTGCGATGAACCAAAAGCATTATTTTCTTGACACGTAGGAAACATATTTGATGCCTGTGCTTGCCCCCTCAAATTCACTCGCGGTGCGAGGGTGGTTGATGTGCTGCCTGTTGAGTTGTGGTGATTGTTGAAAACAAAGTCGTTTACTTTGAAATCAAACACAAAAATTGAGCATGGAAGGGAAAAAATGCATTTTAAGTTTTAAATTAGCAAAGATAAGATAAGATAAGATAAGCAGACAAAGGATGCGTTCCTTGATGAACAGTTTCCCTTTGGGGTAGAACTTGGAGACGATAATGTTAAGGCCGTGGTCTGTAGTAGTGTTTAAAAGAAGTCGCCGTAAAACTGAGATAAAGGTGATTTTTCTTGATTAAGGAAGATCTAGAGGCAACTATTGTGGACTGAGCCCTTCAGACCTGTCCTTCTGAGAGTACACTTTCTTTAATCATCTACACCCTCAATCATCAACGCAGTCGGCTGGCACAAGTAAACGTATCACGCATCGATCTCGCCTGCCATCGCTATTCCGTGCCAAGAAGTCCGTGCGCACTTGAAACACCTGCAAGCTAACAGTAGCTTCAACAGAAGATGCAAGAAACGAAAAAATGGACGTACCAGCATCGCAAATACCCACCTCAAAGCGCAAGATCCATTGTCCGGAAGCAGAGCCATTTAGTAAAGGACAACGAATGAAGTAGTCCTGCGAAGACAGAGTTTTGCATCTGTTTCTCCATGTCATATTTTCCTACTTCAATGCTGTCAATTCGTACTTACCTGACTTAATTCTGTCCGAACATTGGAGACCTGAAGGGAGCGTTGTGTGTGCGCATGGTTGACACCTCCACCTCTATAATGTGTACGTCTGTATAATTATCCTTTAAACGCTTCATGACTGGCGTCACTTTGCCTCTCAGTAGACTTCCTTGTCCTTTGAAGACTTCACCCTCATTCCTTCCGTTAGTAATCGACACATACAAGTTCGTCCAGTTAAGATTTACCATTCGGTAATCTAAACTGGAGCAGTCAAGAGGACAGACCGGCTGGCAGAATATTGGTAGTAGACACCCTAAGAGTTAATTTTACAATTGCAAAGACATTCCTTTAGCACACTAAACGATCTTGTATAAAGTCAGCCGAAGTGAAGCACAACAGTTCGGCCAAATTCAATGAGATCATCGGGTCCGGCAGATGCTTAAACAAATTGCCATCTTCTTGTATGTGTTGGGAAGGCATTCAATTGCATTGGTTGTGGGCCTACGACACGAATTAACGTTACTCCCATTTACTAATTCGTACTTTCCTTCAGGCAAGGTGATGCATCCATTCCTCATATGCAAACTAGTAAAATGATTTGGGAAGGCTTCTGGAGGACGGGAAAAGGCCAAGTGCTGCGGCTGAGGGCTGAGGAACTAATGGCATAGCTTGAAGGACAGGTCACCTGGCTGAGGTACGTTGAGCAGTTCCCAACCGACAGTTCCTAAACGAATTATTAAATAGCCTTCGATCCAATTGCGTCCCCTTTCACCAAAATAAACATCGGCATAATTAGAATTTGCATAGACCTACGGACGAAATGTGTGTGTGTCATGCAAAAGAGATAACTTTAATCTAAAACTTCCACACAGAGAGGCCATGAGATTTTACTAATGATTCAGTCAGATGGCTCGTATTGTGACGGCCAGATTGATATCACGCAAACTGCCTAGCCGAGAAATTTCTATTAAAGCAATATGCTGGTGAGTCCTATTACATTAACCCAAGCATGCTCATTAACTGTTCCCATACTTCGCTACACTTTTTAAATTACAAATTGTACTCAAGTAAAGGATATCAAATGCCTTTATGCAATACGCAAGGCAATGACCTACAAGGTCAATTTGGACTACATCTAGAGGGCAGAGGTTATGAGATCACATTCAGTGTACTTTAGAACGTGAACTTAGGCAGACGCAAATTGCCAACTCTTAGATTTGGTAGAAGGGTGACCATTTACTAATTCGTAAAAAAATATTACATTAAAGAAAAGAACATCGTCATTGTTGATAGTTCTAATAAACTACCACGAGCTCGAGGTGATTAGGCTGCGCATCATTTAAAATCAAAAACTAGATTATAAGTTTAGGCCTGAATTCAGTTGGTAAAGTGCAATCCCAAAATTTTAGGTAAAATCATCGCAAATACGTGTTTGCACAGTATTTCCAGGCAAGAGAGCTCATCCGAAGCCGTTTAGTTGACCACTTAGTGAGGAAAGATACAATCCACACTTAATTGCGAATTCTACCCATTCACGTCATTTTGATGGGGTCCACAAAGCCCGTATAAATTGGTGGCTTCCTGCCTGGATGTACGGCGCGTTTGCCTAGTAGTAACTTTACCCATATGATATTTACGCTACTGAAATATAGTTAATAGCGATCTAACATACAAAGCAATGCGTTAGCTAATGCAAGCCCCTATTTTAGTGTCAGCAGGCACAACCGACCATGCCATGAAGACTGCAATAATAAAATACAAAGACATGTGAAACAACCGTAGCTGACTGTTGGTGCCGTAGGAGAATTTTGTAGGAAGATTGAGGAGCAAGGTTTTGTCGCAGTCACTTATGTTAAGTTTTTCGCACCGGCAAACAACCAACCGTTAAGTAAAACAAAATAATACAATAATACAATCAATCTAATCAAGTCGAATAGCTTTTTAAGGAGAAGGATCTTTATGGGATGTGACTGAAAAAAGTTAATTTCAGGGCAATTTGGACAGAGGGAATGTAGAAGCATAAAAAATTGACCAATTGCAGTGGCCACCCTAAGTAGTAAAATTAGTAATAACCAATCATCCAGTTCATTGATAAATTTGGAATTCGACCAATTGCATTATCAACCAGCCAAACAATCACCTCAATAAGAAATTTAAATGGTCTTTGAAACTTCCTGAATGGCTCACAATTCAGTGTTTCCAGCACTCTCATTCATCAAACATCGAGGATAACTCCTCTCTCCACTCTAAACAGCACATCGTCAAGTCTGACCGCATATTCCCACCACGCTGTCATTATTCTATCAGACTTCTTCGCCTGACCACCTCTGACGACCCTCCCTCTTCCTGCCCACGATGCCACCACCAAGCACCCACCTTCCACTCTCGACAAGGCACCCTCCCTCCAAACTGACACCCTGTCCCGAGATCCACAACCTCAACGAGTTTAACCCAACTCAATCACTACACTCTATCATGCCAATTGAATCGACGATCTTTCAGCCCCCTAGTCAATAGCCGATCCTCCTCGTCACTCAGACTCCCCGATCAGTGCACATTCCACCCTCCGATGATGCTCCTCCTAGCGTTGTGGAGGCTGGAGAAACTGCGTCACTGACATGCGAAGTTCACTTCTCTCTCTCTCCTTCCTATCCATAGGGAAGGGTGGTGGTCATCCTCCACCCATGCGATTCATGTGGCTGTGGAGTCGCCTTACTGATCCACACATCCACAGGGAATATGAGCAGTGTCAAGGTGATCTTTTGCCGTCTTGCTTGTTGTCACCACCAGAAGAAGCGACAGACCATGACAGAGTATTTGTGGAGGGAGAGTGTTTGCATGCAACGGTGAGATGTCAGAGCTCAGACGTCTCATGTGTGGTTGTGTTTAGTGAGAAAGCGGTCATCAAGCTGTCGCTGATGCGAGACAATCTCATCCCGTCCGATCCAGGAATGGCAAGTGTTAGGTCTCTTACGCGATATTTAATTGCCCTCTTCTGTGAGGAGAAGCGATTGGTGCCTCAGAAACCGCAGAATTCAATTCATGGCCATTGCTCGGATTTTATCGGAGACCACTTTAAGTGATAAGAAAATAGCACCACTCAGACGTCGTGTTTGAGAAACGAAAGTACACAAATCCCCGTACAAACCACCTTACCTACGCAGAATTAATGGCACCTCGTCACTACACTTTGGTAAACCAAATCAAAAAATTCTTTTAAAAAATATGAAGACGTATAAGTGTGTGAGAAGAATTTGTGTTAAAGTTAGCATGAAGGAAAGGAGACTGTAAGTAAGAACACAGCAATACTGATAAGAAGATGGACACTTTCATTTGATGAGACGGCGAGGTCCTCGACCAGCGGGTCCCTTAGGGCGGGAAAAGGAGAGCGATGTGGCGGCCTCCTTCGGGTGAAACGTGTCCATAAGGAAGGTCGTGGTAAACTCCTTAAAGTCCTCGATCTCCAACTGGGGAAAGAGAACGACAAAGACGGCGTGTATAAAGATACTGCCATGACTTGAGAGACACCGATTAGGCTTTTCGAATGTCAGTAATATCCAGTTCAACAATGGAGTCTTCGAGATTGCTCAACTTTTAAGTCCCAGACATGGCTTGAGAATGCTTGCGAGTTGTCACATGAAATATTCATTACACTGATGGAAACGTAGGGTTAGAATTTGGATATTTGGTACCCCTTCAAAGAGTAGTAGAAGATAAACATTTTAGCCCTACAGAGACAATTCATTTCAGCTAAGAAACTAGGCAATATTATACCCTGAAAAATGAGCATTTATGCCTGATTTTAAATGGATAGTTTAATAACAAAAACCTTCAAAAGTTTTGATTGAATCCATGTAGTCTTAGTTAGCTAAGGCTGACTAACTACTTTCGTTTTAGAAGGAGAAAGGTGAATGTCGTATGTTAACGAGTGCGAAGCCACTGCCAATTAGCCGCACTTACTTCAGCCGCCCTCAGAAGGGCGCTGAAGCACTTCACTCACCCTGCCTCGCCTCCAACACATTTATTTTCATAAGTGATCTTCAAAGCTACCATAGTGATGTAAAGCACCTCCCTTGGCAGACAGGAGCACCTAAAGTTAGGTCGATGACGCCGACTTTGATGCTTAAAAACGCAGCAGGATATGGTCAGCGGTACAAACGCACACTGCACAGACCTCACTGGACCTACTTATAGCAAAAATGGTGATAAATTAAAGTGGCCCAGAAATTGACATCACGAACGCTTTCAACTCCAGCCAGAGACAAAACAGCATGGAACGCACATAGGAACTCGAGAGGTAAGCTGGTAGACAGTCGATAGTAGCGGTTTGACAGCTCTTGACTCTTACTGAATAGCGTTTCACTCCTTAAATTGGAGTAAAGAGTGCATTAAGTTAGCTGCATTGCCATCATACCCAGATATTTGAGAAAGGAACTCCATCAGAGTTGGAGTAGACACCACACCCACCTTCTGTTGAATAATGATACTTTCAGACTGCTTGCCAATCATACAGCTCTTACGTGTGAGATATTTTCTCGAAGAGTTAAGCCCTGATGTATGATGTCTTTGAGTTAACCATCCTGATTTTCAAGCGACATTCGGTGCAGGAGCGACCAATTAGAGACTCAAATCAATTGATTTTAAATTCAAGGTTACAAAGAGGTGCTTTGATCATAGGTGATATAGTAAGTCCAGTGACCACTCTGCCCAATTGGAAGCAGGTTTGATCAAATAGGCGCTGCATATCTGGTACTATACATCCATTAAACGCAGCTCAAAAATATCCTCTTAGACAACCGGATTCAAAATCACCTTCCATAAGATAGGGTAGTGGGAACACAAGATGGTGCCTTAAAGAGAGATCCCTACTCCAATTTAACACCCCGCAAATTGGAACACTCTACGGAACTGCAGCTCGCCTCAGAACTAACAGTCGCTATCGTAAATAATTTGTGCTTGTTGTGAAGGCCAGTTTGAAAAGTAACCGAGTTCCTGATTGCTTAATGCCAGTCTGAGCATTTCTGTAAGACCTCTGACTAAACCTGATTGGGAGACAACGCAGAGTCCAAAAGGAACTACCACCGATGAGGTGGTAGGAACAGTTAGTAGAGGGAGTCCTCACCTTGCGTTGGATGTCGATTCCATAATGACGTGAGAGACAGTCGATCAGGTTGCCCTTGCAGCTTGAATACAGCATACGCTCCTTTATGCTACTCTGGTAGCCCGGTATCGTATGTACAAAAACTAATTTGGAAAGGAAAGAGTTGAGATAATCCTGATGCAGTAAATAAAAGAATTAAAGAACTAATTCATAAAATACGTGAATGACTTAGCGTCAAAATGCTACCGTTGCGTGAACACAGCGCTGCATTAAGCAAAACTCGGCTACAACTGACGCAGTGAGAATAAATTAATGGACCCTGAGGGAAAAGAAAAGCCGTCTTAATGGAAAGGCTTGGTTATCATTAACACAGATTACCAGTACTTAAAGAATATCCGTCAACTGTCAATGAATCAATGCCATTGACAAAGATAATAGAGCGAATTTCAGATTAATTCAAAATCTTAAAACAGCAATCGAAGCTAGTGCTGGAGTTAAGAGGATCAATTTTGCAACTCGTCTCCTCTATTCTTCACTAGCCAACGTGAAGTATATGATACAAAAAATGGAAAAACGCAGCCACCGTCAAAGCGTAAATGAAAGCACCAATAGGATCGTATCTGGACCCATCAAATTCATGGATGAATCGATAGAGGTGATAGGAACCAGTGTTTGGAGGAGTCAGGGCACCGATTTCTTCTGGCTTCAAGTTGCTCTTCGAGACCGCCACAAAAATACGCTCCTCGGGAATATTGATTTGCTGGAAGGAAAAGTACTGCATCAACAATTATCCCAAACAAACCGCAATTAATAGTGCGGGCACTGTTAGGAATCATAACACGTTAGACATTAAAGGCATTTACAATGTTGCAACTGACGGTACGAGACCAACAGAAGTGCACTCATAATCGTAAATAAATGGAAATGGTTGAAAAGCAAGGTGTCGAGTAATCCTCTACAACTTCCCATCTTCAAAGCGGACCTTACAGATATCCTCATTGATAATCTGAAGTGCATGGACAAGAAATTAAGACTACGATTTCTTACCCTAAAGCCTTAGCTTCTATTTAACAAAATCTGCAATAACCACTGTTTCTACTAGCCTGGGCTTACGTAGCGTGATTTTAAAAAATGACATCCCGATGGACTGAGGGTTCTGTTCTAACCAGTGTTAACAGCTAAACTTATCAAACCATAAATCACTGCTTGTAAGCCAGCGTAGACATCTAGCAACCAAATCCCGTGGTTTCACCCTTTCAACAAATAAAAGTTGGGATTGCACCAACACAAATCTACAGTGTATACGACTCATGCACAATGACATTTGCCGATAGGACAAAGGGAGATGAATGCGCTGAATGATCTGCAAGTGATTAGCATAATATGCACATTCCAGATGATAATCAGTGCCATTCCCCTACTTCCAACTAACAAGAATGAATACACTACTTAAACACACAGTGTAGCCAGGATGAATTCTGAAGACCCAAGTGAGAGCATCAAACTGATTCCGGACAAATGAACAAAAGTGAAAACAAGCTTACGAACTGGAGGTAGTTGACCTTTCCACCAGAGAATTGCTCAACAATTTTCCGGGAGGAACTGGTCAATGAGAATGCAACTCCACCCATGCTACTATAACCATCGTTCATCGAGGCGTGAACAACATGGCCAGCTGCTGTTTCTTGGGCCTGTTCTTCAGCATGTGTGAGCGGGATAGGAGCCCTCTTGGAAACTAAATGTTTTCGATAACCCGACAGAGAAATGTCTTCCTGTAGAGTGCGAATTATTAGAAACAGATATGCCCACCTTGTCATGACACAGCAAATCATCAGCAAGATAACCGTCACCAAATTGACGTCTTATGGTGGCTCGCGTAGAAGCATAGAGTGTTTTTTGCCAAACGTGTGTTTCGTCAGGTATCCAGGTTAGAAGGATCCATTCATACCCAAGACTGTTTTTCGAATCAAGGCGATAAAGGATGTAGGAAGCAGTCTTATGATCAAGAAGAGGAAGAATTGACTGATCGAACTCGTCTTCCCAGTTACCCTTGGCTGGAATGATCTTACGCAGTTTGATTTGTTCATCTTCGATCTGCATATGAACAAGACGGACTGAGCCATGTTTTGCCTCAGCCAGAGCTGAGAGCAACTTTTCGTTTGCTGCAGAAATTAATTAGGGAGATGAAAATCACAAACCTGCTATGCCACTTTGAGCAGCCATACTTTACTACCTGTAATAGAAAAACTTCAACCAAAAACTTAAAAGTGCAACAAGAAGACCTATTAACAAGAAGAATTGGTACAGTGTACCAAGGAAGAGAGTTAAAAACTCAAGAATATATGTAAAATAAGACATGATTAAATGCTACGAAAAAAAATCCAAAAGAAGAATGAACAAACAGGCTAGACTACTAGGTTATAGGTCGACAAGTATTTGCAATACAAATAAAAGCGACCAACTCTCTGAAGAGCTTTGATCGCAATGACGAGGCATCTGCGGAAAATGCACGTCTTCTTATAATCGCAGATGATTTTTGATTGCACTTAACGACTCTCTGCATACGAATAGCTCTCAGAATAAAATGCTGATGGCTATGGAAATTAGCAATAGCTAGTTGTTTTGTAAATTGGCGCAAATTTATTTGATGATTTTAAGTTGCTGCTTGCGAAGTTATTCAAACTTATAATTATGGTTTAAAGTGGTAAAACTACTGGCGTACAGCTCCCATGGTGATTTCGCGGCAGTTAACCATCCATGGGATGATCTAGAAGTTTGCACTATGTTGAGCATTCAGTGTTCTATAGCTTTTGAAACAAGTTCTGAGGATGTTGTAGGAACTGCATGCCTACTCTCCAGCCCTTGAACCCTGGACTTTAAGAGAGGGTCGGTTGCAGATGATTTATTTGGCATTTGTTACGGGAAGAATGGGGATTGGGATGAAGATGGGTCGAGTAGAAGGTATCAACTGGAGAGGGATTCCTCACCGTCCTCTTACATGTAATTCGCGTTCCCATTTGGTTCCCGCCTCTCACCTATCAAAGCTCACTTAAACAAACCAGTATATATTACACGGCCCCCCTACCTTTTAAGCACCGTCCTCGCTGCTGACCTGTAGGGTTTCGTCGGGGGGCTGCCCTTTTTCTGGTAATGTATAGACTTCGCCTTCGTTACCTACTAGGAAAGGAGCCGTACATGGCCGAATCTTGTTGTTATGTACTCTTAGAGACCGGGTAGCGTTTTTCGCATTCCGAATGAGATAATTCATGAGCGACAGGACTTTGATTATTTGGTAGGTTCCTTGCTTCAGCAATGTGAATGTCTGTATGATCAACGGTCACTTTGACATTCATCTTGCTTTAGACCGCATGGGCTGAACTTTGAGCCCAGATAAAGGCAAATCTCTCCCTTTCTTCCTAATTACCAAATGTTTCCGTTCTATTAGTGAAAAGTCTTGATTCATTACAGTCCCAACCTGTGGATCAAAACCGGTTTTGCCTTCCACTGCCAACGTTGTAACGTCCAGAGACTTCACTTTAGGTAAGAGAAAACATCCAGTAGGATTAAATACCTGTATCAAGAAAGAAGAGGAACAATTAAGTCTTAGATGCGACCCGAAGGCTAGCTCACATAACCAAATGCAATTTGATTACCAAATTGATCACCAGCACACTGAAAGCTGCATCAAGCGGTATTGCAGGCACAACATTTATACTGTTTGGTTTCTAATCAAACTAAAGCTTTAAAAAATTGATTTGGGATGAATGTTGTAAAAGACGCGGAAAGTCAATTCGAACAAAACCCGGTGTGTGAGGATGATGAGGATTCCTTCTCCGGCTCATCTATACTCACTATTTACGTTCATTATGCATACAATGCCTAATAAATCTACTGCAAATAATCCTCTCTTAAAGTCCGAGGTTAAAGGGCGTTAGAGTAGGCAGGCAACGTCTAAAAATGCTGGCCCAGCAGCTGACGGATTTGGATTCTGAACTTTGATTAAAGCGAATGTTGGGTGAGGGCTCGAAAAGGGAGGTAATTAAGAAATATGTGCTCTGTTCTATGCCATTATGGCAAGTGGAACCTAAATGGCCATCATGCAGCGCCCCTGAACTTTTCACTTTATATGAAAAAGGTGTTATATGTGACTGAGTACTTGTAGTCAAGAAGAATAATAAGGGATTGGTCTTTGGCCTGGTCTGAATGGCATTTCACGCTCGCCAGACCAAGACGAATACCAAGGAATGCATTCGGCATTGTGTAGACACACCAACAAGGCTTCAAACTCACCCACCCATTATGGTTTACATTACATTCTGAAGCTCTTTGCATGATAACAGACCAAAAGAGGCGAATTTTTAGGCACAGTGAAAAGTGCGAATTATAATGGCCTTACGTCTAAAGCATAAGAGGAAATATGGACTGCAGCAAATTGCAGTAATCTTTGGCATTTTTCAAATATTATTGAATTACACAAATCCTATCTACAAATGCAATGGTTGTCATGGCTTATGATAGTACTGTTAAGGCATGGTCTGGCGAGACTCTGGGCACAAAAACTTATATACATAAATTACGATTTCACCTTGAACTTCGTTAGAATTCATGGAGGAGATTACATAATCTCCCCGCGAATTTGGAAACAGCAACGGTGTGTTTAAACGTTCTTGCAACTATTATCGCTTGTAAAACTATGTTGCTAGACCGTTTTCTTATCTGTTGAGCATGATACAAAGTGTCAAGGCATCTTCTGCACACATCTTTGCTGGTTATATTTTTTTAGTTTTAGGGTATGTTTTGCTTTGCTTCTCTCATCAGATTGTTACATTTTATGAGTAGTTTCCACATTGGCGAAACAAATGGTACTTGTTACGCCTTACATTATTTTTAACGGTCAATCGCCCCATACTATGAAAAAGTTTCAACGATGCTACGTTTGCTGATTTATTTCTTGCTGGCATTTGCTATTTTTGCTTACATTGCACAAAGTTCAATGGTCATCGATGCTCTTTCCAACCAGATTTTGACATGGAAAATAAAATAGAAGCAAATGGACACTGGTAAGCTCAATACATCTCTTCTAATTTTATAATTCCTTAGCCAAGAAGTGCAGTATTTAAATTATAAGCGCATGGGTCGTTGCTGCCTGAAAACTGTTGCGCAAATTCCCAATGTTGGGAGTTTTCTGATCTTTTTGGATCTAAGTGGAAGTAGACTAGGCGACGAAGGTGTTTGCAGTCTTGCAAAGGTTCGATGTAGCTAATAAACGTTTGAACTTTTGATGAAAACCACTATGCTATTACAAGGTGTTAAGTGCAATTTCTCCCTTAAACTTTTGATTAGAAAAAAATGATGATTTTAGATTCTTCGAATAAACAGAACAATCAAAGCAATAAGCTTAAGCAACAATCGTCTGTCGGACGTTGGAGTTGAAGCACTGTGTGAGGTATTTTCCATGAAAAATTTTAACTCACATGCAGGCAAACGGGTTGATTTAGTGGCGTTTTGATAATAACTATTTTTTTAGGTGATTACGGCATTTACCTTAACAGGTGAGGAAGTGGCTATGCGAAGGTTGCTGAGAATGAAGATGGTAATTTTAACACCATGAACATAAAACCCATACAAAACCAGCGAAATTGATAGATGTATATGCGTAGATTTTAGATGACCCCGATTTTCTCGATCTAGTTAAGTCTCGACTTAGTTTTGAAAATGACGCCTCCACTTGGAGTCGAAAAGAAGTAAGTGATTACAAGCCTCTGTCTTCATATTTCGTCTACTTATTAGGCTCGTACATCACACGTTCTTTTATTTGCTGCAAATCTTTTACTTAGGGCAAATGGCAGTAGTTCCAGTCTAAACCTTAATGGCTAATTTTCCGAATTCGTAGACTGGTGTGGCTCGAAAACATCAAAACCCCAAGAAAGGTGTCTCTCAAAAAACAAAAGGTATTATAGTCACCGCTGTGAATTTTTATACCAAGTTTATTGCCACCAAATCAATCAATTTTTTATTAATTTTGAAGAAGCAGATGCTGATTACGATAGTACCACCCTGTTGTTGACAAGGCTAGAAGCCCTAAGATGGGAAGAGTTCTGCATAGCGTAGTTTGTATTTTGAACGATTTCCCTTAGGTGATTTTTTTGTTATTTTCTGAGCATCCAGTAGAAGAAAAGAAAAACAGCGAATTACCAGAGAGGATTCCAGAAGAAATGAAGCAAATGTAAGTTTAACACGCAAATTATGACTTCAAAGTTAGCTATTTTAGCTTATAGGAATGCATACTTTGCTTCAGCTTTGTAGTTTTGCTTTGTTCCCTAAGAAAGTAGGAAATTCCTCCAATCACCCTCTGTTGGCTAAGGAAGAAGAAGCAGGCCCCTTTGGGGTGCGGATTCGGGGAAACTATCAGTTGGCTATGTTAAATCTATCAAGTAAGCCCCAAAAGTTTGGATGACTTTGATTAGTAGACCACTATCTTTTGTAATGTCATGCTAGCAAAACTTATACATACGTTCAATGTACTATGTAGTGATAGGTGGAGTCTAAGTTATTTCTTCGTTCAGGAAATTCAATAACCGATTTCGGCGTAGGCCTGCTAACACGAGCACTATCAGTACAAACGGCATCCATCATCGGAGGTAACTTTACTGGCGGCATGGGTCTCACTGATATTTTGCTAAAGGTAACGAAATTTACAGTTGAATTTGCTCCCAACTTTGGTTTCTAATACTATAGAACATCTGAGTTCTTTTCCTATGCATTTAACATATTGTTTAGGCCAACGAGTTCGACGAGACTGGCACCTTTCATGAGAATCTCCTTATCGAACTACAGAAAAAAAGGGATTTGATTGGCATGCAATCCTAGGCGACGGCTGATAGTGCAGTACCAGCTGGTCAGGAAAACTAACAATTGATGGGCTCGTTAAATATGCTTATGCTTGAAGGAAGATTTTCAAGTGTTTTGACAACTTCGACTTTTACACTAGGCTAGGGGTTATGTGAGGTCTCGTCGTATAAATCCTCCTGAATGAATATTACCAGGAATTAGCTTGGCGCGAGCCCAGTTTGAGCGGCAATGACTTGTAAGGGAATTCACTAAAGATTAGGCTTCTCAAGTGTCTGTTGCGACAGGTTTAAATGGCATATAAAAATCCAGTAGCGAATTGTGAGATGGTAGTGCACGCATCGATTGGATTCTTTTCCAGTGTACAGGGGTTTTTATAATGTAAGGAACTAATTTTTTGAAAAATAAAATATTAGTCCTCGGGACTTCTCACTAAGTCGAAGGTAGTAAATTGAGCTGAATGCATGCATTCTGGGAGGGGAGTGTAGTGAAAGAAGGCATAAGTGAGGTTGAATACATATGTTCCAGAGACGACAGGGGAAATGGGAGCTGAGCGTGGCCCGAGGGTCAGCCCACGTGTACAAAGGCTAGAAGAATTTCAAAGTGGCCTCCAAACGTCAGGTAGTTACATAAACAGAGCATTGCAGGGAGGAATTATAAAGTCGAGACAAATATCAAAGCAACTGTCGAATATGCAGGTGGTATCATAACAATGGTAGATTGCAGAGGGCCATGGCAATATTACTAACATCCCGTGACCGCATTGCACATCCGAGCCATGTGCAAGCCTTTTTGAAATAAATGATCACATCCCAGCATGTTTAATTAAGATTTTGTTCCCACAAAAGCATGCGGTATCAAGAAGCATTTAGCAAGAGTTATGGAATTTATGCTAGTCGTAATACAAATGAGTTGGTTAAATCCACTTTTAGGTCAGAGGAGGCGGTCATACTACGAAAGGCAACCATCTTATTTTAACTTCTATGTTAGAATTGCCCCCATCCTTCCATCTACAAGTTTCGCGCACTTTACCACTATACCGAGTGAAGCTTCATTTAAACAACGGCCTTTCAGGTTGCCTACTAATTGGGAAGCGGATGCTAATGTTAAGGAAAGTACACCAGTCTTATCATCCTTACTTCTACCTTGTTTATTCGACCAACTGAAGTCTGGCGCTTGTGTGCATGGATCGGTCTTCGGACTAAGCTAAGACGAAATCGTCCCTTCACCCCTTGCAATGTATGTAATTAGCTTAACTTAAAGCCTCCTGATTTCTGATGGAAATTCTCTGCACGCCATGGGTTTATCGATTCAACTAGTAGCAACATAATTATGGTAATATCTAGCTACTTGCTAAATCCAGTCGATCGGAGTGTAATACTTTGTTTATGTGACCGCATGACGTATGGCGGTGACTTTAGAATTTGTCTGGCCCTTGTACACGTGGGCTAGCCTTCGGGCCATGCTCAGGTCCATTTGCCCTCTCATTTTCAGAATACATGTATTCAGCTGCACTTACTGACTTCTTACACCGGTTAGGAAGTCTCGGGACACTAAACTTCCGTTTAATGTTACTTGAAGAAAAGTTACAACAAGTTTTAAAGTGATATAATTGTGGGTGATTTTCTGGAACACTGATACAAAAACGTCATGGACATATGAGACACACGAAACTACCGATTTCCGATTATTTATGCTCTTGATTTTAATACAAGCACTGTGAGTCGTCTTGCTTTAGTGCCGTATAGCTGACTCTCAATGTTAGACTTTAGACATTATAGTTCTCGTGTTTTTCACCGCTCTTAAGTTTCGCGATCTCTTAAATTACACGCGGCTTCGTGTACCGGTATGTGCTCCGTTACATGGTCTGAGAATAAGGCCACCGTTCCATGCAATATTTTATCATTCATGTCATTTAACCGTGAACACTCACTGCTGCTAGCTCATCATGGGTCCTCTCTTTGCCTTATCCAAGTTCTAGTCATGCCCAAGAAAAAGACTGGGCAAAGGAAGAAGGCGGAAAGGAACAAGGCTCGGCTGAAAGAAATTCGCCAAGGCCGTTTCAATATCCCCTTGGCCAATCATCCCTGTAACGCCAACATGGAGTGTGATAAGTGTCAGAAAACGCAGAAGAATCGCGCCTTTTGCTACTTTTGCCGGGCGGTGCAGCGACTGCCGATGTGCGCTCAATGTGGCAAGCAGAAGTGCATTCCAAAAGGTGACTGCGTCGTAAAACACGGTTCCACACACGTCACTGGTCTGGCCATGGTGGTAGGCTATTCTTCCTTGTATTTTTTCTTTATTCCAGGGTTCCCTTCCCCGTACCGTTTTTATCCGCGCCTTAGTGTTTATAAGATTGTATATATATAATTGGTTCCAATATGTTATTCTGCTAGGATACAAATAGATTTGCACTTCGCTGTGCGTTTTAAGTGGAGAAGTACTATTTTCAACTCTGCTTAATTCCACGTTTGAATCTCACTGAAAGTGCTTTTACATCCGTCTCTTCTATTTAATGCTGCTGGTTTCGTCAACGTCTCCTAAGGTGGAATAAAATTAAGAAAAATAGGAAAACCAGGTGGTAATTGGCATCAGTTTTCTTAAAAATACTATTGGTGTTCGTGCATGGTTCTTTGTTAATAACTTGGAATGTAAAAAACGCCAAGAATTGTTGATAAGTCGCAATCCTGACCAAGCGTTCAGATGGGAGAACATTTATCTCTACACAAATTGAAAGCTGGCAGCTGGTCTGTGAGTTCACCTTACCGATGTTAGTAAGGCAGAATTATCCTCAGAAAAGTGGCATCGAAAAGTATTTTTAGTACTAATCTTATTACTTACATCGGTTCCAGGCAAGACTTCGCAAATAGGTGCATAAAGTTCATTGTTTCCGTTTCCATCGCTCATTTTTCTTGCTTGTGCAGGGTGCAATCTGTGATTTCTGTGAGGCCTGGGTGTGCCATGGACTGACTTGCTTGCAAACACACGCTTGTTCCTGTCCCATGCAGGACTCCACATGTGTAGAGTGCCACCGAGATATCACCGAACATGGCGGTCGCATGTTCACCTGTGCTTTCTGCGCCAAACTTCTTTGTGGTGATGATCAATTTGAACATCAGGTACGTCGTTTTTCTCTTGATTGTGCTTCATTGTAAGCATTTATTTTCTGGCATTTCCTTGGAGGCTGTATTTGCTGAAAACAATTAGTTTTCCGATAGATGACGGATGGTTTATGATATTTTCGAGTGTTTTTTATCTCCGTTAATGTGTTCAATTTAGATCGCTAGCGAGTTATTTGGCAAAACAGGCTAATAAGAGCGCTGCTTATTTTAATTTTTTTATGCGAACGAACAGTGTATGAGACTTGAACTTAAGGCAAGATGATCGAGGGCATTTTGAGCATCCAATATGCTGCCACCAATCTTTTCCGCTTTGACTGTTTTCGTTTTCCTTGAATGTTACGTTCTACCACCACACCTTTAAAAAATGATGTCCATTAAATTTGACAAAACACGATTCATTAGAAATCTTCAATGCATGGGATCGAAATAAGTAGATGGAGAAGAAATTGTGCGATAATGGGTTGCATGTTGTCATTACGAGCAGCAAACGTAAGATTCTAGTCTAACCCACCATTTATCCAGGCCAGTTGCCAGCGTCTGGAGTCGGAGACTTTTAAGTGCCCATCTTGTAACCGCATCGGGTCGAACGCCTGCATGAGATGCAAAGTCATTTTCTGCGACGACCACGCCAAACGCAAAGGTTTCAAATACGCGCCAGACCAGCCACTTCCATGCCCTAAGTGCGGTCATCCTCTGGACCAATCCTTCTGTCTGAGCATTTCGAGTAGGTCTCTGTTGAATAGATTACTTGTTCTAGCTATTTTAAAATAGTTGAGTGCTCATATTTTTTCGGGCAAAATGAACGAATCCATCTAGATATGTTCATGTCAAATAAGTGTATTGGACTTTTTTTGTGTTTCACTAAACCGCATATCATTCATGAGACCTTAAAACGACTTGAGTATTCTATAAAACGAAGTATCAAAGTACCAAGGTGTCGGAACCTTTCCAGCAATGTTATGGGCAGTTCAATAGTTGTTTTTATCGGCATACGAACTCTGGAATTAGCTCCGTCATGTGCATGTAAATGGATTGTAGAGCTGGCAGATAAACAGCCACGAAACCCCTCATTCTTATATTATTTGTATGGGTGAAGACGTACTTCCGACTCCTTCGTTTTCGCGTTCTATCGTAATAAAATTCACCAGTAAGATGATAGCTTAGGGGTTCATCACCGAACTAAATCGAAACCTAAACAAGTAACTCGCAGTTGTTCTTACAGTCTAAGGAGAAAGCAGATGAACTGACAACATTGGGATAAATTCGATCGGTGTTCTCTCTTCTTTGCAGCTCGGCAATATGCCTTTGGAAGGCAGAGGCAGAACCTTGATGAGGAAGAAGGAGGTGACTCCGACGATTACGATTATGATGATCAAGTCGACAAGGGATCCTCTGAAGGAGATATCGAAGGCGTAGATGAAAGTGAGGTAGTTGAGGCCATGGGCAAAGTAGATCTCCATGGTTACGAGCGGTAGTCTCTGTTGGCGCTTTTGTATACGCATCTGCAGTTAGTTACCTCTTATGTATGTTGGCACAGGTTTCATTATCATCTTCTCTGAGCTGCTGTTAATCTGTGCACAATTCAGACATCAGTCCACTATTTTTATCGGCACTTAATCTGATTTCCTCAACCCATTTGTCAATATACTGCAGCACTTACTCATTTAGGCATTCGATGGCAGTTGCTTATTGACATTAAGGAGTTGTTTCAAGCCTTTGAACCGAGTGACATTTTCGGTATCCAAGCTACAGCTTTAAAGTCGCTCAGGAGTTTTGTTGCTTTAGTTTAACCCATTTTTGCGCTCAAACATAATCACAGAACGCCAGTCGGGTTTTGAGACGTCTCGGCAGTTCCTAGTAGGTGGGTACTTATTAAAGCAATTTTAGGTCGAGTCTTGTGCACGTTTCTTAATTTGTAGCTTTGATGGAGCGAAAAGTTTACCTGGGTCCGGTTTGAGATGGGTCCGATTTTTAAAGCCAAGAGTTGAGCAAACATTGCACCAAAGCTGTTCCCTCTTTTAATTAATGCTGACAATCATTAGTCCAATGCTTTTGAGTCCCAGATGAAGGAACATATACCGTAAATTTGATGCACGGTTCCGGATAAACTATGCGTCGAGTTGCACCGCTTTGCTATCGTGGATGGTAAATTTGGTGCGATTCATTTTGCTTCAAAGCATAGGAGGTCATAAAGTACCGCACAGATTCAGCTGCCCTTTCGTACTCTTCTTAGCCGATTTGCTTTATCTCCAAAATTAGCTCATGACAAACCACCACCAGATGGCTTAAATCACCCCATTCCAACTGACTTGATCGACACTCTTGAAGATGCTTCCTCGGTTTAAGATTTGGCCCTCGTGGCTTCACTTCCATTGCAGTGGTGTCTCCTTAATGCGGAGCTGCCGTGTGGTGTGCCACCGAGCGTGTGGCAGTGGGCTCATAACAATACATTCTTTATTGTCTTGTTTTTGGGTATCTGCCGATGCGAATCATTGCCTTCGATGCTAATGCAACCTGCTGCTTGTCTAACCCTCAATTTTGCTAAATAAAGCCACGTCGACACTGGCTACCGGATCATGTCAGTTTTCCTCAAGCCCTTCTGTACGCTATCAACACCCATGCCCTTCCTAATCTCAAGGAAGTCTCGGCAAAGTGCGACGGATACTTTGATGGTTTGTGCTTGTGGGAGTGGCGAATAAATAGAATTCACAAAAACCTTACCCACCTTGACTTCTGTGCGACGAGACTTCGCCTTGATGTGACTTTGCAACTAATGATTCAAGCATTTCAGCCATTTCAGTTATGAATGCATTAGTTAATAAGTTAGTGCTCCTTAAAGTCCGCTCCAATTTGGGCGTTCGACTCCGTCTTTCATTTTAATGACTGTTGGGCTTTCCGCCTCCTTAAAAGATCGTAAATGTGCAGTCACCCTAATTTGTTTATCCTTTAGTCGTAAATGATAGACTTTTTTGTAAAGCGTTGCTGATCGTTTTAAGAAATGGCATTTATTTAGCAGCAAGTGTGGATGGACTCAAGCATTTTTTGTTATTCGTACCTCCTTTTGACACTAGTGCTTGGTATACCTTCATAATTTGACAGCTTCGTGGGATGCTGCCGTCTCCACTCACCATGAATGCAATTGCTTTGAATTAGAACAGATCGAAGGAGGCAAACCGAGGAGTTTTCTTCGGGACCAATAAGCAAAAAAATCCACAATTAAGTTGACTGGAGTGGAGTTTCGAAGCCTTGGAGTTCCTGATACCAAGTGCTCGAAAGTTAGCAATTTAGTTACGGTAAAAATACATCGCCGAAATGAGAAAAAAACCTTTACATTTAGTATTTAGTTCAACAAACGTACCTGTTTCCCACTCTTTGACATCGAAAGGCGATAGATGATGATGGCATTGTTTGGAGTGTTATTTACTTAGAAGACTCCAACAGATCGTGCCTTGTGAAGGTGAATTTAAAGAAGTGATTTGCAAAATTGCTGCTGCTGCTACTACTAAAGCGGTATTAGTAGTGATTGAGGCAACCAAGACCATTCTAAGTGACTGTATGATGCAGTAAACCTGCACTTCTATCTAGCGTCAAAGATGATTTCGGATTTCATGGAACGCTGTGATGTTGTCAGTGGTGAGAACTGGTCCCATGTAGCGTTTAACTTTGATAACCTGGTAATAAAATGTATGGATTAAAGAGCCAAATAAAAAAGTGGGAAATGTCGTATCCACTGCAGCACTAGGTAAAAAGAAAATTGCCTGGGTAAAGTATACACATTTGGCCTTTACTAGGGTTTGAACGTCAGCCTGACTACGTGATGGTGACAAAACTTTGGAAAAGTTGGCGTCATAGCATTTCCTCCCAGGGTAATTGTCAAAATGTAGTGGGACACAATTGCACCGAGAGACCTGACTACGGATGGAATAAACTGCTTCGAGTGCACTCCCAGTTGGTAATAGATGATAGTGGCCCAAAAGTGATTGAGGATCCTGTTTAGAACCTGATCTGGTGCTATGATTGGATTCAGTACTGCATCGAACTGTTCCAATCCTAGTAAGCACACTGCCTCGGCAAGGGGAGAAAAAAGCGAGAAGATTTGAATGTCTCCAAACATCAGCAAACGTTCTTTCAGAAGAATCGTCACCTGAAGGTCACTTGAATCGCTTGTGTACCGCATATCTTTGTTTGATAAGTATATCTTGAGTTTACTGCAGTGGCAGCGAGTGGCTGTTTTTCTCCTAGTGAATTCAGAAAGTAGGGAAAAAAAGGCCTTCCATATCGGAGCCTTGGAAGTTAGAATTAAGTTAGTGAGGGTTGGCGTCTTCCCAACAATTTACTACGACAGTAACAGACGTAAATTCCCTTTCAATGCAGTAAAAATAAATTTGCTGTTTGTTGTCAGGCGATAAATAACAAATCAGTAGTGTGATCATAACGTCCAAGTGATTTCCATAAAATGTAGGAATGTGTTAATGTGAGTTCCTTTGATGTCATTTTTTGATCTCAATTTTGGTAGGAGTTTCAATTTGGGGCAGTGGAACTTGTCTCAGGTGGACTGCCCTAACTGACTCTCCTGTGTGTGGAATGTGAAATTATTCTGTACCAGTATTATGCCTCTCTTGACTTCCGAGGTCTTTTGACCAACTCCATTTAGAGGCAAGTCTTGTGTAATACTGGGTGATAAGTCATAGTGAGGGGGGAGAGGTGTGCATTGCTACATTTGATGGAATTTGTAAATAATATCTACCACCAGTTCTTACTTTACTCCTCTTACTACCGGGAAACCTTCGGTGGTAAAAGTCGCCTTAGTCGTGAACTCTATGAGAAGGTTTCTCTCAGGAGATGCTTGCTGTACTCATATGGAAGCGTCAAACATGGAGACGCTCAATATCTCCACTATCTCTCACTTGGTTGAATGGGAAACCGATAGGCATGAATGGATGGCAATGAAGCTAAAACAACCCCTTAGGGAAGACCGGAAGCCAGAATTTGCCTTCATAGTGCTATATTCGGTTCTGTCCTCCAACATTTGACTACGAATGACGATGGACATACGTGATGGCCAGTGCATTGCAAAAAGGGCAGAACGCCAAATTCACACGGAATACTACAGAGGATCAATGAGGTTGCAGTGTAGTACTTTCCGTTACGTTCAAAATTAATGACTAGCGTGGCTGGCCCATGGTCACTTCCTTGCAACACCGATCACTTTGCTATATCTGACACGGGAAAATTACCCAAGGGAGCGCAGAAGGCGGTGATTGTCATGAGAAGGGAAAGACTTAGATGCAACTAACTGCTTTTTTACGTCTCGGCTTTGATGGTGTACCAATGAATTTCCCTGCTGCTGCATCTTTGCCGAGTGAGTCTCCATCCGAGCCATCCTAGTCGCTCTAAGTCCCTCTCAGCTCCAAAATGATGTCTCTTTCTGCACTCAGGAAAGTCTTGAGACGATAGGTATGGATATTCCCTGGGAAAAATCAAGAACTAAAATTAGATTAAATTAAAATTAAGTTTGATAAAAATATTAAGGATGTTTGGCATTACTTTCACCAAAAGTCTGAGTAGGAATACGTAGCTAGCATCTCCACTGGCGAAATGGGATGAGTGCTGACAATCGAAATGGATTTTTGCTTTCTTCCCCGAAATAAACACATCATTACTATTAGTATTGTATGTGCTAAATGCAAGGAAAAACAAAGCACCGACTATCGCGTAAATTGTAGCACAGCTGCTGTACAAGACCTGAACCTTCTTCCTCACTGAAGACCGAGCTAATTGCGTTACTTTGATGGGCTTGCATCACCTTTTACACATTCAACTTGAGGTGCAATTATGGTTTTGCATGGTACAGCACTCCACCTTGACAGACTGTCAAGGTGGATCGCTTCCACCTTAGTGTGCTTCATTTAGAGATGTTCACTGTATGTGTCTTTTGCGCCTACGTTCAGAATTGACTCATGTAAGTGACATTCGTCCATGGATTGATGAAACACAAGTAGCAATCTTCTCTTTTGCGTAGGCGTCGGAATAGGCGAATGGCAGCTCCGCGAATGTGGTGGCAACACAGACTGGCGTGATTTACGCATTATACAATACGTCCTGCTAATCTGGGTGTGTATAGGTGCAGCGTTCTTAGACCTCAAACTTGATATTTGAGGGCCTAGTTCAGATTCAAAAGAAGGAGGGCAGCGCTTTCAGCACAATCCGACAACTAGCCTACCCACCAGAAACAATATGACGGCTAAAGCGCTCGCCATTCATACAGGCAGTCGGAGTAAAAAAAAACAAATCTGTGATAATAGTATGTTTTGTGGTTTGAAGTTGTGCTACACTTGCATTTTGCAAAAGGCCTCACCTTACATTTTGTCACAGACAAAATCAGATTGGGAACCTGCTGTTAAGGGAATTCGCCTCAGGCTGGGTTCGGTGTGTGCATAGAGGAAAGTTCTCTCCACAAATTGCTTGCAAATGC